CTCACAGAACCTAAATCAGATGTAATCATTTTTCATTATTTCATTCACAATTCATCCCTTTATTGCAAAAGCAGAGTAATGAATGTGCTATGGATACTTGTCATGGGAAAGATCATTGCCATCTACTTGTATGCGCAAAATGTTCCATCACATCTATGATTAAAATTTTCAATCAACCATAACATAGTTTTCCTTATGATTACTTGCTTTAACTCATGCATTAAACTCAGTAGATGCATGCCTCCATCATATTTCACAAGCACATAAACATTCACATAGCCCATGAAACTGTCTCTATTATGTCCTCGTGTAACTCTATAAATGCTTTTGTTTGTTTGTTTCATTTTCTTCTTCTTCTTATTGGAGTGGGGAGAAGAGCATTCAAATTTTTACATAAATGCCAATAATAAATCATGAGTGATGACTGTGACGTTTGTTTTACAGGGCATGTAATGATGTTGAAGCACTCAGGAGAACCCGTGGTAAAGTCCAGGTGCAAGCTGTGTCCTGCCTTTTTGGTCAGATAGATTCGGAAGGCAGATTTGAACTTAGAATCTAGTCCCTTTTTTCCCGTTACTATGATATCCTTTCGTACAAAACTGATAACGATAGATGATACATGGAAATTGATAGGTAGAGATGTTAGTGATTGCCTCCATGTTCAGGACTCATAGTTTAAGCTTGAGTAATTTCATGGTTTGGATCAGCTTGTGTCCAGAACTGCTAAATGAACCTTCGATGTGTTTCAGAATGTTTTGAGGTACTGTTCCTGGCTACCCGCAATATTTTTGTGTTTTCTGATGTTAAGATTTGAGCTATATCTGTTCACCCAACCTAGTTTTATGTTTCATGGTTTGGATCATCTTGTGTCCATAACTGCTAAAGTGCCGATTGCAATCTCAAGAACACAAGCTTTTCGGTAGAGTTGATAGGATAGTTCACTTGAGTCATTGATGCATCAGGATTTGCCAGCATGAAACGAGCGCGACTGAGTAGCTCCGGACAACCATTCACTTCCATCAGTTGAGGATTTGTTTTGTTTTGGGACCGATGCTCTGGTCCAGCTATGTTTTGCGTTTTAAGGGGAAAAGAAAGTAAGAAAACTAAAGCTAAAAAAGTACAGTACATCTATCATCTATGTACAGCAAAATGATGATTTAGTTCCTGCTGTCTTGATGATTTTGCAACCTAGTCCTCTTGGTTTTGATAATCATGGATTCATGGATTGGAGAAGTCCAGATTTATACACTTATTTTGTTTGGAGGTGAGAATGGGAAATTTGTCATGAAAAAACTAATTAAATACTATGTTTTTACGTATTTTTTTGTTATTTTTAAATATTTTAATGTGATAATAATAAAAATAATTTTTTAAAAATTAAAAAAAATATTATTTTAATATATTTTTAAAAATTAAAAAATATTATTTTAATATATTTTTAAATAAAAAAATTAAAAAAACCTACCATCGTAATTTCAAACATCCCATTATAACGTGTACCGTTCTTGTTGAAAACTTTCTTGATATCTCACTGTTTTTGGGTCCTTGTTGATTTTGATGTAATGGAGGCGCCTCCATGACGCGGTGGGATTGGATGATTTGACCCGAAGCCAGCCATGTAGCTTATCTTCTTTGGATTTGATCCAGATATCTAATCAACCTGTAAGTTCACGTACATCCATCATATTAATTTCGATAATATATAATACATGGGCTGAGATATTAGTTTTGTTCGGTACCCAGTGGATGTTTGTTTACACAGGAACTGCTTTTAAAATTTACTGTGTATACATCAAGTTTAGAAATATAAAAATTTAATTATTTTTTATGTGATATCCATATATATTTTTGATGAAATACTGTTTTGTGAGAAGTTGCTCTTTTACATATGCAATCAAGTGAATATAATTCACCTGAATATTGTTAACTTCAAGTGAACAGTCAACAGTATTCAGGTAAATAACTATTTATATTTTAAAAAATTATATTTTACTTAAAAATTAATATTTAATATTATTTAATAACACTAGATAAATTAGAAGGAGATCGTTTGATGATATAGTATTTATAGAATTTAATCGCAAACCCAATTATATTCTTGCCGGCCCCGACCTAATTAAAAAAATCAGCTTTTATTTTTATTTGTAATTGTATTTTATTCAGAAAATTAGAAGAATATTGTTTGATGATGTAATAAAAAATTCAGTTTTTGTTGTTGCGCGTTTAAGAAACCATGGAAAGTATAGTCCTTATTTGATAGATTTCGTACGTGATAAAATTGCACATAGTTTAATGGAATAATAAAAAATATTTGATATCAATATTATTTATTTTATGATGTAATAACAGTAATTAAATCTATAATATTTAAATTAAAAATCATCAATATATATATATATATTAATTATTTTATAACCTAAATTTAAAAAATATTTTTTTAACCAAACATATTAAACTACTTTTTGTTCAACTTCAATTCCAACTATAGTTTTAACCAAATATTTTTTTTTTCAAACAAACATCAATTAAAATATTTTTTATAAAATATTTTTTTTTTCAAATCACAACCATAACAGTTACCACAATACCAAACACACTCGTTTTTTTGCAGTTTATACCAAATTTTTTAAAAAAATATAAAAAGAATATGCAATATAAAAAAATATATCTAATGTATTTTTTTATTATAAGTAAATCTTTTTATAATTAATTCCAAATTTAATGCATACAAGTAATTTTTTTTAAATATCAAGATAATATTTTTTAATAACTTGGGTTAATAAATTGACATGCTCAACAACTTGAATCATAAAATAACATTAATTTTTTAAATTATTTTTATTTAGTCATACAAAAAAATACACAATTAAAAAAATATCTCAATATTTTTTAAAATAAAATAATAATAGGCTGTAAAATAGCTTATCAATGTTACAAAAAAGAATGTCATATTCCTTTTTAAAATAATATCTTAAAATTTTTAAAAATCAAATGGTATTTTTAATAAAATAACATCTTAATATGTTCTTAATTAAGAATTTTAAAAATAAAATGGTATTTTTAATAAAATAACATATTAATATATTCTTAATTAAGATTTTAATAAATTAATATTTTATTTTTGAAAAATTAAGTTTACAGTTTTATCAAATTGGTTTCGGTTGATACATAAATTATTTTTCAAAAAACTTTAACGTTCCGTTACACCATTAATATGAAGCGGACTTTTCAATCAGCAGCGACAGGCTAGCTTTTCCAGCTCAAAATGATACAAAAGAGGCCAAAAGAGAGAGAGAGAGTGAGTTAGACATTGCCCTTGACAACCAAATATGAAACAAGAGTAGAAAGCCTGGAAAAGTTTCACAGCGTAAATAAAAAAAAGTACAGAAGATCATAACCGTATTCCAGTAGCTGTAAAATAATATCCAGATAATAAAATTTATCGAACGAGTTTACAGATAGAATCGCTGTGCAATCATTTCAAGTCCGAGTAGAGGATATACAGCGCAGGCATCATTTCTTATTTTCTAATATATGAACTTTTCATTTCCCATACCTGAGAAACGAAGTCAACTCGAAGCATCCCAACTAGAATTTAATCAAGAAATCTAGAATGATAGCGAGATGAATGTATTCTACTTTTGCTGAATGGTAAAACGAAAAAGACCCAAAGACGGGTACGCACCAGAGCTGCTAAGCAGCCTCGGTATGCGGTGCCGCTCAGACCACTTATTTTTTACTTACAGTCCTGTAATTTTTAAACATCTACAAGGTGATTCACTATTTTAGGCTCATTTCAGGCTGGTCTATGAATAGTGTCATGCCACCCTCAGCTATTCCTTGTGGCTGCTGGGAGCGCACACCGATGCTGCGTCATAAGGGCTCCCGTGTGCAGCGCAGGATGTCCGGAGATTTTTTTATTATTATTAATATTGATGTTTGGATTAGCTTGCTAATAAATTTATAATTTGATTAATTTTATGAATGTTAAAATTAATAATTATATAATAAAATTTAAATTAATAGTCTTTTGAGAATAAATTCAAAATATGGCAAGTTGAGTTATACTTTTTTAACTTTATTTAAAATTATTTTTTATATTTTTTTAAATATCTATATAATAAAAAATATTTTTTTATATGGTTGGAGAGAATACATAGAAGAAGAATACACGGGGAGAACACTCATCTCTTCATAGGAACTCTCTACTTTAGAGGCATCTCCGCTACTAAAAACACTCATTTCTATATTACACATGACAAGACACTTATTAAAGTTAAAAATCGACTTAAATCTCATAGTCTCCAAAGGACATAGATAATTTTGATTTGCAGATACATAAGAGAACCCATTATCAATTGTGAAATTCTAAGATCTGTTTTTTACAACTCCATCAACTTTTTTGGTTTTTTAAAATGATATGAGAAAAATAAAATGACAAATAAAACCTCTTGATTTTAATTCTAAAAATTCTACTTTTAAAGGTAAATGAATAGTTTGATTATACTTTAAAAATATAAAAAAAAAACTATATTCTTAATTAATCGGGTAATGATCAATGAACAATGAAAAGATTAATTTTTATAAAGGAAAAAATAGTAACTACTCTATAGAAATGAATAATAAATAATAAAATATATCTATATTCAAAGAGAATTTATTTATATATTGTAACAGGTCTTCTATTTTGTAAAACAACGTATAAATAAGACAAGGAAAGAACGCTCTAGAACTCCGTCGCTCGCAAATTTAAAATAGCTAAAATCAGGTGTTCCCTCACAACACGTGTCAGGGCATGCATAGGAAGAGGGTTTTAGCGAGTCTTGAGCCAAACAGCCCCTTGTGTGCTAAACCCCAATCCCCCAGCCATTGCGTCTACATTTGTTACTGTACCAACAACAACACCCTCCTTGTCGGTAAACAAAACCAAGCGTTCTTCTCTCTCTCAACTCAAACTCGAAGGTCTCTGATTTTCTCTATCTTTACTTCCCTCCTGAAAATTTAATGTGCGTAGTTTTTCTTTTTCGCTAAATTTGTTTTTACCGGTACCGAAGAGGGATTCATTAAGAATCAATGCAATTTCCAAGAAATGGGAACCCACCAAGGTTTTTCATTTTTCTTTTTATTACTTTCTCTAATTTGTTGTTGCTTTTTTTTTTATCCTATCATTTTTTTAAGCTTTGAATTCAGTTTAAGTATGGTGGGTATTACTGCAGGTTGGACCACAAGCTGATAGAGTTCTTATCCGTCTCGAGGACCTACCTGAGGTAATGCAGTGCAGTTTCCTCTTTCGTATTTCATATCGTGATGGCCATTTACCAATGTCATAAATATCCAATTTTTTAAAGTTGTTGTGCTGATTGGTGTGTTTCGCGTCATAGAAATCGTCTGGTGGGGTTTTGTTGCCCAAATCAGCTGTTAAATTTGAGCGGTATCTAATGGGAGAGGTATGATTATGAATTATGTGTACTGTAAAATCAGCTGTCATAAGGATAGATTGATTTTGCTGCTTGCTATCGACATTATTGTTTACTGTTTGAGTTTTCTGTTTTCGGTTTTATCTGTTGGTGCTGAGGTTGGGGAAGTGGAGGCTGTAAAGAGGGTAAACAAATACTACTTGTTTCATTAACGATCGACCCATCTTGCTGGTTTTTGTCTTGTTAATTCTGCTGTTCACTGATAGCTGTGATCATTTTGATTTACGTACACCTTATTTTGCAGGTTCTTTTCTCAGACATCAATGCTTATGAGTTATGTAGTAAGTAGCATTACCATTCGGAGAAACTTGCATCTCACGTGTGAATTCAGTGAGTTTGCTTCTGAAGTTTTTTCCTGTTTGCATGAAGATAAAATCCCCTTTGAATGTCTGGAAGACAGCATGTTGAATCTGTCAGATTAATATGTTGGAAGAGTGTCTTGGTGGATGGAAATGCTTGCTTTCTTGCAACCTTCACAATACCAACTAGTTTTTGAGTTAACCCCTTACAGATTTCTCTTCTTGTTCAGTGCATATGATGTGCATAGCATGCCATCATTTAGACAGGGCACTTTTGTATTTATGAAATGTTCTTCCAAGTAATCAAGTCATACAATTTCTTTCTATTCTCTAGATAGAAATGTTGTTTGTTTGTAGAATCTAGTCAATGCCTTTACTCTATGTGATTATTTGGAGTTGGCTGGTGGTTTTTGGTTCTACCTAGGGCATGACAACCTCCTCCGGAAGTTATTAACAAAGCATGTACTTGTAGATTTTGACCTGTAGGTGTAACATTGATTCTTCTGTAATTTGCATGTCTGAGCATTGAGATGATGGTCATCATACCCGTTGTATTTTCTAATTGTGCATGTCTCTGGATGCGTTCTTATAAGATTCCTGAAACTGTGCAGGTTGATTTGGGAACATATGCTAAGCATTGCTTCTGCAAAGCTGGTGATTTGTTGGCCGTTGTGGAGTGACATCTCTGCATTTCTGCCAACTTTGACAAGAGGAACTCCATACAATGAGGGAGTCAACTTGGCTCTTCTGTCAGTGTGAAGTTAAATGAAGATCTTCCGACTGTCTGTATTGAAGTATGCTCAGCATTAGGAGATCGGTTATTTTTGCTTTCTTTGTTCTGTGCTGCTAAACCTTGTAATAAACGGGAGCTTTGTTCTTACTTTGACTCGATCCCGAGTTGTTCTGATAGACAATTCTTAGAGCCTGTTTGTAAATGCTTCTGGCTGATTTCAATTTTTGATATTTTTTTAAAATTATTTTAATACACTGAATCAAAAATAAATTTTAAAAACTATTTTTGAAAACAATTATTGCCATTGAAAAACACCAAATAAAAAAATTTAAGTCCTTCCATGAACAGTATGTCAACTGTCAGGTTATCTGGTGATAAATCCTTGTCACGGAGAATCAGCCGTTTGGAGCTCATTATGATAGGCTTCCAATGAGAGGAAAAGGAAGAAAAAATACTAAACAAAAGGAATTTAATAATTTGATGATTATAGCTAAGACCCAAACAGCAAAATTTTGGGGGCGAATGTGACAGCAGAGTATTTGTCTGGGTCATCTGGCTCATTGAAGGAACCTCCACAAAATTCCTCTATAGCAGATGCAGTACGAAAGAAACCATCAAGATCCAAGATTTCACAGTCGCTAACCTTTACAGAGACTAATGAACGACAGTTCCTGGCAAGAAGCTCAAGGTCTTCGGATCTGACTCTGGTAAGATCTGTCATGTAAAACTGTATGGTTCGTAGAGAGCTCATGGAGTCAGTCACCATCTCTCTCAACAATTCCATTCTCTTCCAAGAATAATGTTCTCAATTGCCTGAGGAAACAGATGATGACAATAAATCGAATGCACCATAATAAATATGCTAAGACCCCCGAATCCAAAGGCAATGGAAAAGTGAGGGTTGAAGTTATGATAAATAGTGACGACTGAAAGCATGAGTCTTACCGGAACACGATCTACTAGCTAGGTAGGAAACGTTAAAATATCATTCAGTTCTTACTCCATTATTCCGGCATATTATTTTCCTTTATCAACAAACTGTAGGCAATAGCAGCAGCCAACCCCATAATCTTACAACTTCAACAATCAAGAAAGTCCATTATAAACATTTGGATTGCTGATTCTACTTTATTTACAATCCTCGTAAAACAAAGCCGTGCAAGTTGAATCAAGACACGAGGATATCAAACTCGGTATGATCTCCATCAAGTTAACCAAATACATTATGGAGCTCTTGAAGAACAGAAAATTGAACAGTTTCATTAGGGTATGCGCTTAAATGATTGCCTAGATCTTTATTCTGATGCCATCCCCGCCCTCAAACTGCCCATAATAGATTACCAGTCTGAGCACTATAATGATGCCAATATTGAAGTAAGCTCGGTTATCGAGATGCCGCGACAACTTGTGAAGATGGATTCAAGGAGAAAGAAGGTGCAGCATCACCATTAACAAATGAAAAAGAATAATGACGTTTTTCAGCAGTCTTCTGTAGCACTTTCGATCATCAACATGCTCCATTGATTTGCTTAATTTGTATGTTCAAATAAAGGTTTTCTCATTGTTTATCCTTGATTAGATTAGAATTTCTTGATTAAAACGGGCGTTTGAACATTCTTTGTGTTGGTCATCTGTTTGTTGACGACAAATGTTTGTTTTGGTTCATCAACTATCACCCGTAATAAAAATGATCTAAAATAATAATAATTAATGATGGGAAGAAAGAGTGACTTCTAATTAATAGCAGAATTAGTCAGATTTCAATTCCTTCTAATGTTGTTGTTTATAAATATTTATCATTTTTTGAAATTGAATGGAGCGATTCATGCATGAATCTTTTTTTTCCTTTTGAATCCCAAATTTCATTAGATCTTTCAGTTTTTCTGAAGAATCTATAAAAACCCTTCAATGCCTAAATAACTAGAGGCCAGCACTTTCAGCCCGTTAGATTTGCAATGGGACATATGAACGTGAATGTTTGTGCATCAACAAAACCAAAAGTTATTTAAAAAAGATTTTAAGAGCACACCCCATTCCCTGTACATTTTATAGAACTTTTTTTTATATATATATTAATCGTAAGATTTGACCTCAAAAGATATGGAGTAAGAATGTTTAGACTTGAAGAAGAACAGTGCATAACGGTAATTATATTTATCACATTTAATGAACTGTAATGAAATACAATAACGGTTGCAATTTAAAATATATTTTATTTAAAAATATATTTAAAAAATTATTTTTAATAACACCAAATCAAAACACGATTTCAATCACATGCTCCAGTGCTTTACTTTCTTATTAATTCAGAGAAAGTGAAAACAATTAAAAGAAACATGGGAGAAAACCATTTGTAGGCAGTGACAGCTGTTCCCTCGCAGGCTACGGATGATTGGAACGAGGCTTTCATTCTACACGGGGCCCCTGGCTATATTCATCTTCAAGAACAAAAACGAGGAAATTTTGATAAACCATTCCACCAAATATGATATTGTAGATGCAGTACAAAAATTCATCCATGAAATGCTTGTCATGTTGCGACAGAAAACCTTCTTCCAATGGAAAGTGACGGTCACCATAACGGTCTATGGGATAAAAAGTTAAAAACCAACGATCAAGTCCAAGTCATGATGGAATTTCTCCAATATAATGTAACAGGCCAGATTCAAAAGAAAATCACGACATAAATATAGTGCACTGAATTTTGTTTGTGATCTATTAGGCAAGCTGACTCTTCCTCCTGAATCGAGGGGACAAACATGGCCTTATAGTCCCAAGGATGCAGCACCTTTACTCATAAATGAAGACCTGTATATTAAGCATTCCATAAAAATCGCATTGCATAGTAAGGGACGATACATTCTTTCTACCCACTTCAACATGAGAGCCAAATGCCCAGAATTTTACTATATGAAACTTGCAGCAGTGTGCAGCAGCACAGAAATGACACCTATGTTTTCAAACTATTTCTCCTCAAGAACGATGCACCACAAGACCAATTCCTTGTAACCCAATCATACAAGGAAGGGGAAAGAACTTAGGGTTCATAAACTCAAATAGCAATGGCAGGCAATCAAAGCACCAACATGGGAACAATGTACGCCAAGACCAACACTTGAACCTACACACACAAGGAAGCATAAAGTAAAGCAAGCTGATCTCGAGAACAAGAAGCATGCATCAGAGAAGTCCCTTGCAAGTGAAAAATAGCCACCAAAGTAACAATGCACCACACAATGAAACCCATGAACAAAGGCAGCGGCAGGAAACCAGAGCATCCTAAATGTGAAAAGAAATTTTGTGCCATTGAGTACTTCCTCACAAATGGAAACTGGTGATCATTTGGTACTAGAAGCATAATGAAGTCAAATGGCAGTTCTGCCAATGCTACTCTTATCAAACAGACTAATATTATTTCCAATCCCAGCATGAGGATCAAATCCATACAAACACTGAACAAGGAAAACAAACAAAACAGAATGTCATTGTCTTCCATGAAATTCAGGGAGGGAAACCATATGCTCAAATCAACTAGCCAGTGGATGGTTATGAATGTACTCAATAGCAAGGTTACAAGAGTCAATCTTATCGGCTTCCTTGTCTGGAATTTCAAGCTTGAACTCCTCTTCTAGAGCCATTACAATCTCCACATTGTCCAAGCTATCCAAGCCCAGATCTTTCTGGAAATGGACTTCAGGAGTCACCTGCAGATAATCATTTGGAATCCAAAACCATTAATTTTTTCCCTGTCTGTGGAAAATGAAGATGCTTGATTTAAACAATAAAGATAAGCGGAACTACAGAGGCAAAATTTGGCATGACATATGGATGTGGTTGCATAGGTGATTTTATGCTCGATATAGAAAATGAAAATACATGCTAACATAGTAATTGAGAGGCCAAGTAGCAAGCATGAGGTTCAATAATGGACAAGGAGAAAAGAAGAAATGTCTCTTGGTGTGCTTATTTGTATCTCATGAATAAAAAGAAGCTCCAGATTTACTCTACTAGGGAGCCCACAACTTATTCTATTTTGCCTTCCGTTCTCTTCTCTCTAAAGAATAGACTGCAGAATTCTGTAATTGAAAAGCTGCTATTATAAATTGGATGTCCGCGCCACCCAAACAATGTGATCTTAATGTTGTATATAGCTAGTACAAAAACAAAACAAAAGCCACTAAATTCTAAGCATTCACAGAGAGACAGAGCACAAGGAAATAAGGAAAAAGATAAACAAGAAAAAAGCAAGAGACAGTTAGAAAAGACCTCAGAAACCTAGATTGCATATTTTATATTATTTATCAAGGTCAGAAAATTGAATAATCATCAACTTCATACTAAACATTTTCTAATAATTCAGTTAATGTCTCTTCACAGATTTTATTCTATATTTTTTTCCAAATAACATTCAAAACCTAACCAGGATTCTGAAAGATGACGAGTTAAATTAATTAGAGAAACAAAAGGTAAAAGATGAAATCAAATGAATCTCTATTATAGCATAATTAGAATCTAAAGCACATTGAAATTGAAAGGAAAATAAAATTGAAATGGAATGGAATGGAATGAAAGGGAGTTCGATCTGACCCTGGAAGGATCGACTTTAGGGAAGCTCTTGACAACAGAGACAACTCTGTCGACGACCTCTTCCTTGGTCAGATGGTCATCATGCGACGACATTAGCCGGACTGAACCGGACGGAGCACATGGATTTGTTTTGAGTCTTAGGGTTTGCACCGGCACCCGAATGTGGTGTAGCACGGCTGCTCTCAATGCCATTTTCCCCTCAGTCTCTCTTTCAATTTCACTTGGCCTTTTGGACTCAACCGATGAGAATATAGTACTTGGATCGTTCGTTCAGTGTAAACTATTTTACGATCAAATATTTTTAAAATTTCTCACGTTTGTTTTCAAGAAAATGTATTTAAAAAAATATAAAAATATTTTTTAAAATTATTTTATCAAAAAAACTGGTTATCAATAAATATTTTTTATAGTTAATTTTTAAATACAAATAATAATTTATTTATAACATCATTTTATCATCATTTTTTTTTGTCACTAATACCCCATTATTTAATTTCACCGCCACGAGGTAAAGAATTGGTGGTGGTAAAAAAGTAGAGGCAGTTGTTTATATGATGGCCACTAAAGGTTTACATGGTTGTTAATTTCAGGATCCGTGAAATTAGTCGTGGTGTGTGCAAGCTGGTCCGGACACCCATATTAATCTAAAAAAAA